GTCGTAGTGGTCGTGGTAGTGGTAGTGGTAGTGGTAATGGTAGTAGTAGCAATACTAGCACTGATGCAAGTACATTTTGCGCAAATGCAAGAGTTAGCCAGAAGAACACTCCGATTTAAGCGATTGGAGTACATGAGCAGCATTTCTCGTAGCAACAACAGAACCTGGATGCTATAGCCGTTCCAAGCGGTAGCGGCAAGGTCAGTACAGCTAAAGTACAGCAAGAGCACAAGCAGCAGTTGCAAGACTGGTACCACTTACCAGAGAAAACTGACGCAGGAACCAAAAGGAGTGATGGTAAGTACCGAGCATTTTAACAATGTAGCTATGGTAGGTATCATTGCCGTGGTAGCTCTTCCAACCTGGCAGGGCCTATCCGATCTGCGCAAGTAAACAAGGCTATGCAACTGTAGCCTCCGCCGATTCGCGCATCCTCATTTAGCGATTACACATCTATTCCTTCAGCTTTGCTCCAAGTTGCCAGCGGTGTGCGAACCGCATTTGTTTTGCCAGGTGCCTGCATCCTGCCACATGCGGATGCTCGGCATTGCGCTCTCCAAGATTGTGTGCATACATTCCCTACAGTAGGTGGTGAAGCTTCTTACCCACGCTGCACTGCGAGAAGCCGTGTTCAGCTCGGCGAACTTATGTGTAGCAGGCTTGGTCAGTCGCGGCTTGGAGCGGGCGCGCGTAGTGTGCAGTTAGACGGAACATGCAAAATGTAAGACAAACTGTACCAGCGAGATGGAGAAGCCGGCAGCTCGTTTTTACCACGGCCATCATCCATGTCATCACCGTCATCGCTGGCATGGCCATCGTTACCACCATGACTCCATTAGCCCCGATGCACGTAGAGCCGGAGGTAGCTTGAGAACAGGCCCTGCCCGAACAGCTCACCACCCGTCTCCATGAACCTTTCGGTTTATCTTGTAAAATATGTGATTCATTCATACGTACTTGCCGTAGTGTGCCTTGAATGCTTACGCTCCAGCTCAGGCTGCGAGGCACATGGCCGATACAGACTTCCAACTAGTCTTGTGTTTCTGTGGAAGGCAAACTTTCATCGCCGGTGACGTCATTAAGGGCTTCACTGCGTTTGGAGTGGTTTCCTGAAGGTGGTCAAATTCTGCCAAAGCATACTATGTTCACACAAGCACCTACCGGGCGGCTCTTGTTTGCCAAGCAGCTCAGGAAGTGTTGTTCCTGGTGGAGGAGCTGGTAAACGGCACCAGTCTGCAGGCGCTGCATCTACGTTCTTGCAGACAGCTGCATGGTATGTTCAGCCATGCTGGGAACTGCTAGGGGAAGGTGTAGGGCCTCGTCGAAGCAACGAGTTATGATCTGGCGGCCCTAATGATTTGGTAGAGAAGGTAGGTTTGTACTCCTGATTGCATGCAGAAACTTGGCATGGATCGGGGCTGAACCTGATGATTACGGCAATTGGTGGGGGAGGCTTGCAGCGGCTTGTGGTTAGGCGGTGTTCTCAGAAGCTTCGGTGCTGCTTACGAACGATATTTTTTGCGTTGAGCTCCAACCCGAAGTCTTCTCTGCTCCCAGTCGCTCCTGCCGGGATCTCTGGAGCTGAACCCCCTAGAGAAGCACGCGGTACTGCTTGGAATCCTCCGTGCCTTGGCACTTATCAGAGCCGATTTCGCATTGAAGCTGATTCGCATCGCTATCTCGGAGGACCTCATGACAGGCTATAGCGGCTACTGTAGCTTGCTTTAAAGGGCCCCCAAAAAAGACGCAACAACTTACCGCTGCCCCAAGGAGCGCTGCGGTACTTGCACGGCTTGGTCCCTTCCGTGGCCCACGGGGACCTGAAACCCAGCAACGTCCTGGTCCTGGAGCGCCACTTGAGCAACAAAAACAAGTCATACCAACATGCTCTATACCCATATAGGCCCATAGTAGCTCCTTTTTGGGATTCCCGAAAAAGCATCCTAAATATACGCCACAGAATGGAACTACTATGGGGCCTATGGGTAGTATTTACTGGGAACGAGTCATACTGCTATGTAGCATTTGCCGCGGGAGACTTCAGGCGGTCGTGATTCCTACTGAACCTTTTGGCTTTGGGGGTCCTTCTGGGTGCGCATGCGTTGGCTCTCTCTGATGTTTGTGGTTATTGAAGCAGGAAGAAGCAGAGTTCGAGTTCAACTTATGCTGAAGCAGGAGCGAGTTGTGGCAAACGCAGCATGAGTATTCGGCACGAACATGTACGAACTCATCGGACTCCCAGGCACAGGTCTTCTGAGCCTTTGTAAAGAAAGCGCGCCAAGTGAGTCGCATGCCGAGAAGTTCGCAGTCCCTGCCAAGACACCCGTAGGGCCGTAGGGGACACACCAAGTGCCTTGGCTTCAGAGCCTCCTTGAGTCCGGAGCCAAGAGCAGGAGCATGCTCAAAGCTGCAGTTGAGGCGATCGTTCTCCGAAGCTGATCGATTTTGGACTATCGCGGATTCGCCACAGCCACTCGCGCCAGCTGGGAGGCAGACACGGGACTCACATTCATGAGAATTTGGAGGCTAGTGAACCAGATGTCGACCCTTGGGTAGGGCGACGAAGAATCAAGAAACCACCCTCCGCACAAAACGAGCTGAGCACTGTTGATCTGGGACCCTCTTGCCCCGGCGGACTTCCAGCGTTGTCTTTCAGGGCACAAGGGAACTCTTGTTAAATGTGTTACTGAGTACTGGTATCATGCACCACTAATCTACTACATCCCACTACCCGGTTACCCTCTGCGGATGTAAGGGCTGTCGAGATCTGATCGGATGCAGCTCAGATAAGGCAGATTCAGTTCGCTCTTTACAGGCTCCGAATGAATGTGGCCTACTGAGAAGGCTTCTGTGCTAAACCAATCTTCCACAGGCTCCTGACCGACTGCAGGGCATTGAACTTTTCTGTTTTGGAAATTGTCTTTACGGCAGCGCTCTGGTTGTCTAGCACTGCTGTGTCCAAGTTTGCCTTGCTGGATGGGCGTTTTGGTTCCCTTTTGCATGCAGGAACACCGCGCTACATGGCGCCAGAGGTGCTCCGGGCCAATGCGAGGGGAGCCAAACGACATGAGCCACATATCTCGGGAACCTGTGAATAAAGACTCTGCATCATTGGATGCTTATTGTAGTAAGTCATGTTGATTAATGAGGACTCTTACTGACAGTTCCAGGAGCCTACATGTTTTGCCATGGATACCTACAGACGGACGTTTTGTTGCCAGAGGGGTGTCAGCGAATGACTACTACTAGCAAAGGACTTATCTTATCTTTCAGTTGGATGTGGTGAAGGTCTCTGAAGATTCACAGGCACTGACAGAAGATTGGTAGAAGTGCAGCCGAGTAGCACACTTTCAGCTTGCCACTGAGGCACAGATTAACTTATGTAGTTCTATACCACTGTGCACATAGCCGCCAAGCTTCAACCACTTTGGATTTAGATGGCACGACTTTCAGTAGCATTCTGTAGTCGTACTATTCACGGGGCACGTTCCCCCGTTTTGACTTACAGGTCTCCCTCCTCCTTCGGGTTCAGCTTGTGGCATCTTGCTTTCGCAACTCGAAACCATGCATAACTAAGGCCTACCAAGGATCGGATGAGTTCCCGGTGTTTCCAGAGTTAGGGACCATACTCAAGGTGCGTAGTGGGGTCACAGTAGGGCCTCGCCTCGCTTTGACTCCGTGGCTTCGTCTTCTGCATCCTCCGCTCCTGCAAGAGGTGCTTACCAAGACCATCCAGATGGCGAAGGCAGACAAGGCAGACATGTTTTCATTTGGCAGAGTGCCTCGGATGCAACGAAAGCAGTCGGTGTCGCATTGTTGCTGCTTTCAGATGTGCCGCAGCGGCCGTAGCAGTTAGACTCTGAAGCAGCCGCTCTGTGAGGTGATTTTCTTCGTGCTGGCCGCAGCGAACCCTTTGCAGGGGCTGAGTGTTCAGGACATGCTTGTTTCCCGCTCTTGGTCGCATTCAAAGCTTCAGGGCTTCTGCACGCATTGGAGCGGATCTCGGAACAGTCACAGTCGACAAACCTGCATTTGTACGAGGAGGGTCCTGATGTCTTCTCCTGAACTTTGTGCCTATGAGCTTTCCGATGACTGGCATGCAGCGGTTTGTTTCAAGAAAAACTCAGCTTCTTGCTGTGGCGTTTTCGTGAGGATGTGGTGTCTCAGGCTGAGAGAAATCAGGCCGGCTGCTGCAAGGCTTTTCAGAAGCACCGCCTGTTGTGCTACGATGCTTTGTATGTATCACTGACGTGTAGTAATCCAGGCGTAGATAAGGGGTGAGGGCCTCTAGCACAATTATCACGTTCAGCTGCTTCATGCTCTCAGTAACTCTGTCTGAAGCGCTTTGCACAACCTTGGAGATATTTCTCTGTGGAGTCAGCGGAGGTTTGAGACGTGGGGGTTCTTGATGAGCAGAGCTCAAGTATGTATTTTCACTTCGTAGGAGTGTGAAAGCAGATTCCTTGTAGATATTATCCGGAAGATACTTCGAGGTACCGGACCTGCAGTGGCCACCATCTCCCGTCCCCTACTTCGAGCACGCGAAGCGGCTCGTCGACTCTTGCCTCTCGGACTTCGAAATCGCGTGCCTGCATGGCTGGGAGTCTGACCTGGCATGTCCACATGTAGCTGGAACTCCTGACATTCGACGGTTTAAAGCCATGCAAGCATGATCTGTTGAGGCAGATAGTCGTACTCGATCGTACTCGTGCCCGTTTGTCGCGCGCACTCTTCTGACTCCTTCGACGAGGCCAAGGTTTGTCGCTGTATCTACAGGAGACGTCAAGGACTTTGTTCCTGTGTATGGCATTCCGTGACTGGTCTCTCAATCTCTCTCTGTCGCCCTCTCTCTGCTTCTCTCTGTTGTTCTCTTTCGCTTTCTGTTTTTGTCGCCGGATGTATGTGCGCATAAGGATGTGCGGGTATGCATCTTTATGTGTATATGTATGCATACCTGTATGTATGTGTATTTTCCATGCATGGATGGCTGGATGGATAGATGGATGGATGAATGCTTGTATGTTATTATGGGTCTGATTGCATGGGGGAGGGAGGGATGGATGGATGGACTGCGACTCCTGTGGGGATGCAATTCAGTGAATCACCCGGAAAACCAGCAGCCGGTCTTTGAATCAGAAACTGCACATCAAAAACCGGCCGCTCATCCGAAACCGGCGCATATCGGACACCAGCGCGCATCGGAAGCCGACTCATTCTTGCAAGATGGTGCCGATCTGGAGTTTCTGTAGCCTCACCCATGTACAACTTTTGAGCTGACGTGTAAGACGTGTGAGAGAGAGAGAGAGAGAGGCCAGGTACTGTCGACTGCAGAGAGCTGCTCTTTTTCTTTCTCCATAGGATTGGCCGGATCGAAAGAGGTTTTGTCATGTTTTGTCCATGGAAGTTGCTTCATTAGGGGAGTTTATCTGTGTCAGAGCATAGAGTGTGCTATGGAGATCAGTGTGAGATTGTAGCACATCCCAAGAATCGCAGCAATCCTCAATTATGTTGTGCCTTGAAGTCATAGAACATAGGCTGTTCCTCAAGGTCTGAGGCCTTCACCCGATGAACGTCCGAACGCAGAGTCCGCAGTGACTTGACTCACATAGTCCTTCCACTGGGCTTACGTTCTATGCCTTTCAGATCGAACTCCCTGTCTCTACCATCAGTACTATTTTGGAGATGTAGTCTGGCGCATGCACGGCGCAATCGGTTTGAATGGAGGAGGACTTGAGGTAACAACACCTACATCACTTCACCAAACACTTTCTCTCTGCCGCCAGTCTCAGAGAAGGGCTGCTTGAGAGTAGGGAGGGCCAGGATGGGCCACGAAATAGCAGGATGACAAGGTGGCAAACAGAGCCATAAGGGATGTCAGTTGAAGAAGGCGGGCTTAAGACCCGAATCTAAAGCACCCATGCTTCTGATCATGCTGCCAAGGAGCTAGCGCTGCGAGCCTGGCTTGATGCCGACTCGCCCGATGGACACGAAGCTCAGCCTGCAGTGCTCTCTTCGCGTTAGTGCTGACATTGGGTCAGGTGTTGCAGCTTTCGGGATTCATCTAGATACCGAGTCCATGAAACAAGCTTTGGATCCGACATGCACTTGCCATGCGTAAATACCTCCACGTCCGGAGGATCAGGAACAGGCCCTTCTCGCGAAGAGTTCAATTACCTTTGTCTCTAAGTTAAGCAGGACATGCAGGGTAACGAAGCGATGCAAGGACGGGGTCCACCTACGAGAGATCATCAGCCACGATCGGACTGAGGTGGGGGTCAAGAACGGTATTGCATCAGCCGAGCAGCATCCAAGCAGAGACTGATCCCGCATGCAGGTGGACCCGGAGACAAGGTTGGTGACCTCTTGCGCTGCAGCTGCCAAGCTCTACCTGGCACAGAAAAACCAGATCTGAGCTTGCTGCAACCTGAGCCGACAAGGCGAACAGACTACCCACGGGGCTTGCTCAGAGAGCCCGGCTTGGCACTTTATCCCCGTACCAAAGCACACCAGCAGCTTCCAGCTGAAGGCTTCTTCTTCCAGTAGCGCTGTGCACATCCAGGGAAGTCTGCGAACTCGTCCCAGCTCTCTACTCCCATCGTGCGTCCTAATCTGGTAGCTCCTTTTCGCCTCATTCTCCAACGCTTAACTACATCAGGCCCGATAAGATGCTCTTTCAAGCTCTTTCACTTGTCGCTTCGGCAACGCCCCCTTGCTACAGTGGTTCCCGGTGTCTGAGTCATATACTGTGTTAACGTCGGAAGGTGTGTGGCATACAACTTATGAATGCAAGGGTGTAGTCCTGGAGTCTCGGAGCTCGTAAAGAGGAAGCACAGAAACGCAGCAAGTGATTCTCCCTCCAAGCTGTGGCGAAGTCTCCGAGCATCGACCCCGGGCCCCATTCGCGGGCTGCATGCAGCCAAAGGCTGACTGCACACTGCACACACTGATGTCCCATCTGCAGCTTCAGTGTCTGGTCGAACCCACGCGCACACTGTGTCGTTTAATACACAGTGGAAGGGGTCCTCACAGCTTCGATCAGAGCAACAAGCTGTGAACAGAATTTCGAACGATTTGGTTGGCAGCATGAAATGAAATCACACAATAAGCGAAGAGATTGCCTTACACTTCCCATGGGAAGCCCTTACCTCAGATGGCACTTCGACAAGTTCCTGCAAGACCTGCAATGGTCCGGACGTGTGGCCCGAGTCGGACAACTGTCCTTTGCCCCTGTGGCAAAGCCCCTTCGGAAAATCGCGGCCGAAGAGTTGCTGAAGACTCCGGCGGGGCCCCCCCGCTGGCAGCGGGTGCCCAGTTTTTAGGTCAAGACCTATATATATCAGAAAGCCGCGGATCCTCATAAGAAGATCTCGCGATCACCACCTTCAGACCCTGTCAGACCTCAACGATCGTGAGTTAAGAAAACGTGCCTGCTGTCCGCTGATGCATGTCACCGAGCGTCGCACTACTACATACGAATGCTCCTTTACCGTGAGATCGCAGTACGTAGGCATGTTGTTTGCAAGGACGGTTTTCCGGTACTTCGGACATTCCGGATGATTTTGTAGGTTTCTGTGGAGTTGAACGAATTCGTTTGGCGCCCACAAGATTTGAGTATGCTCGCTGTCTTCGTTTTTGACAGGTATTTGGCCAAGACCTGTGCAAGACCTGTCTTCAGTGCGACGTCCGACTCGGACTTTTGGAGGTTTGGGCTGTTTCTGGGTTTGTGCTTCGTGTTCCCCGTTGTCACGTTATCAACTGCTATGTATGACTAGAGTAGAACGAAAGCCTTTCTGTGACATTTTGTGCAGTGCGAAAAATGAGATGTGCGGAACTGGCATGTTCACAAGCTTGTGCTAATGCGCCTTCGCTAAGTTGATTGTCATGTTCTTCTCCACGGAGTCCTTCAGAATGTGGGCGCCCGAGTGGTGGGCGCTGCATCCCATGAGCCAGACACCTACAGATATCTGTTGCAACCCGCTGTCTCGCTAGTATCTTAGCATGCTGGAGCTGCAGAGCCTTGAAACCGTATTCTCAGACTTGGAACAACGATTGACTGTAGCAAGTTAATCCAATGTGCAGCTTCGCAGATCCCGAGCCAGGCTGGTGCCGGCCGTGCTGTATTCTCTGCAGAACAGCCTTCAGTATGTCGCAGCGTCGAACCTTGACATTTCCGTACCCCGGCAGAATTGATCTCGACGTGCAGTTGGAGCACAAACACGTCTAGCTCGGCTGCACCGAGGTATGTCAAGTGCTGTACCAGTTTCTTGGAACGCAGTTTCGTTAATTCATTGCGAACGAATTCTCCCCTATGGCGCAGCATTCATAACGACAGCAGCGTATGCAAGGCTAGCAGGCAGCACCGCGCAAACCTGTTTGCTTCCAGATTATGCCGGGATGGTTTGTTCAGCGAGACTTCGCGAACAACAGCAGTTATGCACACCGGAACTAGGTCAACGAACGTGGCCGGGGCTAATAGACATGCCTTGCAGCAATTTGCTTGTAAGCAGATGTACATGGCGACCGCGACCCGGCGCTTGTGTGGCAGACGAACACAGACCAGACATGCAAAGACTCTTTGCTGTCTTCTGTCGAACAAAAATAGAAGGCCCGGCATCTACAGAATACTTTTAGCCTGCGCACTGCTCGTCAAAGATCGTCGAAGTGCGGAGCTAGCAGAGCCGGAGTCCAAAAGCTTTGAATCATCGGCTGATGTACTGCTCAAGCTTTCCGAAACAAACACTACGCATCTCTGCTTTCTTGTTGGTTTGAGAGCTCGGGTTCCGCACAGCTTGGAGAGCCAGGATGAAGCTGGTCACCACTGCACTCTTCAGCATCCTGGCCGAAGCATTGGCGACAAGTCACGACGTTGTTCCTGTAGCATTCCCAAGGTCCTGAGCGAAGCTGCTAGGCATGTCCGTCGCATGTGCACGCTTTAGCTTTAGGTTGGACTGGTGGCCTTGATAAGCCCAGCCTGATACTATGTATAGACGTGTTTCTGGAGATAGTAGTGCAGATTGTTCACGGCCAAATCGCTGCAGAATAAGATCCAGCATTTTGGGCTTCTGGCCCCGCAACGAGAGTTTACCTGAAGTGACAGAGTCCATAAATCGCTTGCGGGACGAGGCGTGGCGATGCTGAACCGGCAACTTACACCTCCCCAGTGGTGGGGCATTTTCCTGTGTGCACTCGGCGTGAGCTGGCTGCATGCAGGTCTGAATAGAACGTAGAATGAAGGGTTTGCGCAAATCGAAGCTGCAATAGCTTTTCTGCCCCGGAAGCCCTACAGAAACTACAAGCTGAACTCGCTTTCATGTTGCACACGCAGCTTCGAGCATGCTTCAGCCCCTGATGCTTGGCATCACTTGGACTACGCCACGCCCTCCGTGCACTAGCACCAAAAATCACTAATCGCAATTTGGGTTCGTGGCGGCCGGAGGAAGGTTGCCTGCTTTCTCATATTATAGATTGTCGGCGTTGGTCACCGGACGTGTGCCCTGGCATTGAGAATCCTAGAGTCTTTTGCAGTGACATCAGTGGCTATAGCAGAGTTCCCCCCCCAAAGGTGGCCGCAGTGCAGCTATCTACTGCTGAAGACAGCCGGCAAAAGGCTGGCCAGCAGGCCGGGTTTTACTTGATTTCGTGGCTTGGGGCTGAGATATTCAGGTCGGATTGAATTCGTAAGTTTGCCGGCTAGGCCTCAGCGAGCTACGTCGGGACTCGAGAGCCGCATAAAGTGTAAAGGACCAGAGTATGTATGCGTGTGCGTGTGGTGCGGGTCTCTTCAGGTTCATAAATCCAATCTGAAAGCATCGGTGGTGCTTGTGTCCTTTGCAGAGGGGTAAGAGAATGCGCCGTCGTCGGCGTTGTGATCTGCATGGCGCCTGATTCATCCGATGGGCAAGGTCTCGCACCGCAAGAGCCATGCCGGAATGCTTTATATCCGTCTGGAACATGTTCATCATAGGTTTGCATGTGCTGAGCGGGCACGGAATTCGTATGTCCCCCACTCATGCACAATCCGAGATCGTACCCCCCGGCAAGCCTGCTTCCACACACTGCAGCTGAATTAGGTGAAGTTCCTACATATTTACATACTTAGGTGCAAGATGAGATGAGGAGGATGACTGTCCTCGTCCTCATCCTCTTGTGCACCTCCTTTGCATCGTCATCGTCATGAGTACGATTGTTCCTTGCTTCTTCTTTTTCGTTGTTACTTATAATACCATGCTAGCGCGAACAGTGATGACATTGATGATGCTGATGATGATGATTTGCCCCCTCCCACTATTCCAGTTTAGCTCAGACTTGAGTTTCTTTCTGATCCTTGCACCGAAGGCATGGGTCGGCTTTTTGGCCGTCTCTGTGGCTTGCATCACCAGTGGCCGACGCCTTGGTCCAGCCTTTCTTTTTTGCTCAGGTTTAGCACGGCACCTGTGCCCGGAAAGGAGGCAAGGCAGCAGGTGAGTAGTTAAGTGGATACCTTGTAGGCAGATCCGCAAACCCTGCTTGCGTGCTCATCGGTGCGTGTGGTGTGTGTGTGTGTGTGCCTGTGTTTGTTTTTGGGTCCGTGGTCATGCGTGCACATATGCACCACAGAAATTCTGTGCATTTGATTGTGGGTGGGATTGACCAGTCTCCCACACTGAGCCAGGCTGTGCACAAAGCGAGACACCAGCAAATTGAGATTCATGTCAAGTTAGCACGCTGAGTTGTCTGGGGACAGGATTGGCGGCAGTCTACACCGAGAAAGTCTTTAAGCGACCAGGCTGCCATGAGCGGACTGCCGTAGGCCCGTGGCTGTTTCGACCATGGAGCTTGCAAGAGTATGTGTCTGCAGGTCTATAAATCTTTTAGATACCACAATGTTACATTTACATGTCTCTCTCTCTCTCTCTCTCGGTTTTCAATGTGTATATATATATATGATATATGTATATACGTATACCATAGCTACGTACATGTACTTGTGTCCATCTGTACATGGCTGCACCTCTACGCAGATTGACACACACAGATCAAGAGCTCGCTGATACCTAGGAGTGGCAACTCAAGTCGCTTGGTTCAACTTTCATGGCGACATCGCTCCCCACAGATCTCGAAAAGGATGGCAGTCTTTGATGTAGGGCTTGTGATTGGGGACGGGAACTTCCTGTGAGAGAATTTCCCGACCTCATGCATTGCGTTACCGGCCCAGTCTTGCCTGCTTTTTTCTTTTGAAAAACTCACCGTTGGACTTTGAGGAACCTTTGCACCTCTACTGTTCATACCACCATCGTTCTCAAAAAGAACTTCTGCGCTTCCGTTTAGCACGCGCTCGCTTCTGCTTCTGCTGCCAAGGCCTTTGGGTGCGCAACATGCACCTTGCTGGCTGGTCTTTGGTCGCAATCTCCTGGGGCCTTGTGGCCAATGATGGCTCTAAGATTCGACCCTTGGTCGCAGAAATGCAGCCCTTCAGGTTTGCCGGGCGCACGGTGCATCGGTGATGTCTAAGACCAGCGCCCTATAGAATCAATCGAGGCGAGAAGGGGTTCTTCCTCGGCTGGAACTTCCTCGTATGCCCCTGGCTTTGACTTGTTCATGCGTTGAGCAGACAGGTGACGACATAGAACACTGCATGACTCCGATGCTTGTGTGCAAACATGAGGGCCTTTCTTTCTGAATCTTGATTTCTACAAAAAAACGCTTCATGTGTTGCATGGAGCCGAGGTGTAGTCGTAGCACTGCAAGCGTTGGGCGGAATGGCGGTTGCTGTGGTCGCGAAGTATGCAGACAACATCTCGAGACAAGACGGCATTTTCCGAAGTGCTGATTCGGTTTGCACTGGTGCCTGCGAGTTGAGGGGTGCTGTGTCGCTGCTCTGCCGGACACAATTATCAGATTATCATAATTGAAAAGGTCGTGGCCATGTCTTGCCACACGTGTCATATGTATCATTGATATTTTGTGTTTGTCCACCTGCACAAACCGATGTTCTCATATTGGTCTTCGTCTTGTTGTTTGCGTTGTTACCTGTACTTGGAGGAACTGTACATGAAGATGTTATGCTGACATGTGTTCGTATTTGTTTGTATGTGTGCGTACGTAAGTATGCAGCGGCTTTAAATTCGACTATGCAGCGGCGGCTTTAACGTTTCCTGACATGAGGTAGGACACTTTTAGAAGATACCGATAGTGTTCTTGCCGGAACGTCCTCCAAGTCAACCTGAGCTAGGCCGGGAGTCTCAAAAACATCTATACTGCATGAACTGTGGTTGGGTTGTTCTTGCTTACTGCATGTCTTTCATCGCCAAGTCGCGTTCGTATACATACAAACATGGATACATGTATGCATTCGCACACATTTACATTTTTTATTGTAAACGCTTCGCGTCGTCCGGCTCGGCCCGGTCGCAGGTGAACGCTATACATCAGGCGCCGATTACGTAGCAGGTTCACAATCCACTGGAGGACGCGGATGAATGTGTGTTAACATGCGCAGTCATAGGGACATGTCAATGAGCTTTTAGACCTGACAAATAAATAATCAACATAAAGAAATGCAGTGGCATATTTTCTGTCATTCTTGTAACTTGCTGCCTGCACGCATCTCAGTGCCACGTTTCAGAAGGCTCATTGTTTTCCTTGCTTGCCAAAAACCGAGGAAGGGATTCGCAACGGCTCTCGGCTCGCACAGAGAGTTAGACTAGTTGTCGGTCTCTTCTTTGCTCTCCTATCTTTCCTTGTTTCCTTATCTCGCCCTCTCTGTCTCTCTCGCTGTCTCTCTCTCGCTCTCTTTCTCGCCTCGCTCTGAGCAGACCAGACGACGTAGTCGTGACATGTTTCGTCGAAAGACTGTCGCACTGAACTGCGACTCTCCATTTCTAAGCAACAGAAACGCTTGATCATTTGGAAGCCCTTGTTGTAACCCATGATTAACCATCTGCTGTCTGTGCTGTAGTCCAATGAGCCAATGAGCATCCAGGAATACCAAGAGAAATTTGGATCCTTTCCATGAGAAGGTGATTGCCTCGCTTTTGTGCCATGTTTTCTCGGAAGGAGGACCGAAGGGGAAGTGGCAATTGAAGCGAATACGTCTCCCCATCCTTTGCGGGTGCTTGCTGCACCAGCAGCAACGACACAGTATTCGTAATCTCTCTATAAGAGACGGGCACATATCCAATGTTGAAGAGAGAGAGAGAGAGAGAGAGTACCGACAAGCAGGTTGCCATTGACGCCAAGGTGGACAAGATCGAGGAGCAGAACACTAGCCTTGTCACGAGAATGGACCTCCTTGAGGGGAAGTTCACAGCAGCACAGTTCAACACTAGCACCCGGGGATCTGATGGCTCGTCAACGGAAGCGCCGAGGCCAGCTATCGTCCTAGGGGGATGGGCCTCTGAGCAAGCCGCCTCCGAAACACTGCGCCTCGTCAAGCAACACGTCGCCCAACTCCAAGTCGACTTGGACATGGACGAGGCCTTTGTTCCAGGGCTTCGGCGGGGATTCGCTATCCTCCCGGTGCAACCGCGGGACGGGGAAGATGCTGTGAGCCACAGACGCCGCATACAGGACTCGCTCCGTACAATCAGAGCGGCAAAGATCGTCACGGGCCCCCGACCCGAAGGGGGGAACAGATACTTCTTCGCCACGATGAGTCAGCCGCTGGAGCGACGGCGCCGAGCACAGCTGGCGGGGAAGATTAAGAGACTTATTTTGGAGGCCGGGGGACGAAGTCAAGCCCTCGAGGTGGAGTACGGCACAGCCAACGTGTGGTACAATGCCGTTAAAGTTGCCTCCGGTGTCACTACAGCGCCATCCTCTGCACGACAAGAAACCGGGGGATGGGTCGCGATAGGCCCCCTAGCCCGCCAGCTCGGCACCTCTGACGCCGCTCTTGGGGAAGCATGGGATGAGCTCCGCAAGGGGCTGAGCTGAGACGACATGGACCGCGAGCTGTTTCACAAGCCCGGGGGGACTGCCTCCGAGCTGCACATCCTAAGCTGGAACGTGGGTGGCCTAACTATGGCTAAAGCCCTCAAGGTTCTATGCTCACTCCGGGATGCCCGAATTCACCCCTTTGATTGCAGTCTGGTGGTTTTTCTCCAAGAGATCATCGTCGAGACTGGCAAGCACTTTCATGCGGAAAAGCAACTTCAGATTTTTGCGAGCAAGAGAGATGATGAATGGCGGGGGACTGCAATTGCACACTCCGCTGATGTGAGCCGAGTGGCATGCAAACAACTAAAATGCGCCTGCTCTTGCACGCTTGAGATAGGCAGGTTGCGACTTGCCGCCATCTCCGCCCACATCCCGCACAGTGCCAACCTGCAGGAGACAGAAGGCATCCTTGAGATGATCGCCGACCAGCTGGCGCAAAAACATAAGGCGGCCCTGGGCCTTGACGCCAACGAAAGTTTCGAGATGCGACAGGGGGAGGCTTTGCTCTCCGAGTCCAGCCGCGGGGAAACCATCCTCCGATGGCAGGAACACAACCGATTGGTGTTCCCTCCGCAGAGCCTCCACAAGAGCAGCTACTACCCCTACAACACCAGGTTCAAAGATAGACGCTTGGACTACGTCATGCTGAAACACCTTGAAGCAGGGGAAGGAGACGTACTACAGCATCGCGACATAGCGACTTCAGACCATGAACCCGTTTGGGCTCCCATCCAGGTTCGGGCGCAACAACCAAGGTTGACCATACGAGCACCCGAATGGGGGAGTCGCCGACTGCGTGGTCCTACCGAAGTCGCTGCTGTGATGTCTACCCCGCCCTCCACGGGGGACCGCCTGGCTGCCATCACCAACGTGGCCATCGCCATCACCGTTCCGGGCAAGGTCCTCCCACACTTCGAGGAGAGCAGTCAGCTTAAGAAGATGCGCCGGGAGGCCACCGCAGCTCCGCCGGGGGAAGCCCGCCGAAGCATGTGGAAACGCGTCTGCCGACAGCATGGACGTGAACATGGCAAATGGAGGCAAAAGTTGCTCGACCGCACGGCCCTGGGGGACTGGAAGGCCAAAAGAGCTCTAGAACAATCCAGCCGCAGCCATTCCTGGGAGCTCCCGCTTACGGACGATCCCGACTGGAAACACACTCTAACTCTCCACTTCCAGGGGATTTTCCAGAAGCAGAACCAGGACACGGTTGCAGCAGCCTTTGACAGCATTGATGGCCGCCTCTGCAAGCTCTGCAAGAATACGCCGTGGCACCCCTTCACCATTGACGAGCTTTCATGCATCCGAAAGCGGTGGACGAACGGCAAGGCCTGTGGCCCCGACATGGTCTCGCACGAGGCACTGAAGGCTTTGTTGCAACATGATTTTTGGGGGGAGAACCTCCGAGAGCTCTTCAGCGATATGCTATATACCACCCGGATTCCTCAGAGCATCGAGCGGGGAATCAGCATCTTATTGGCCAAAAACAGCGCCCCCGCAGACTGGGGCGAGACGAGGCCCATCACAATAAGCTCGGCTTTGCTAAAATCCTTCTCACAACTACTGCTTCTCAGGACGGGGGATTACATCATGACGCCCTCACGACTCCAGTGGTCTCGAAAATCCAGGCAAGGTGTTGAGCTGCTCATGATCATCCGTCGCATTTGCCGCATCGCTTTCGACTTCGGCCTGGAGATGTATGTGGCAAAACTGGACATCCGCAAGGCCTTTGACTCCGTCTTCCAGGAAGCCATGGCCCTTCGAGTTGAGGAAGACGTTGCCATAAAAGGGGGACGACCATGGGAAGCACGAGCATGGGTGAAGCTGCTACGCTCTAAGATGATCACCGTCAGCTTCCGGGGGGCCACCCTCGAGCTACCACAGACAAACGGTGTTCGGCAAGGGAGCCCCGACAGCCCAGTGGCGTTCGGCTCCGTGGTTGCCAAGGACCTTGACGAATGTATCAGCGAAGCACGTGCAGTCAAGCCGACTACTGATGAGCCCCCCCCAGAAGATGGGGGAAGCTACATGGATGATACCTACCTTTGGTCGATGTCAGCTACACACTTGCAGAAGATGCTAGACCTGCTGGGGAACAAGCTCCCCAAAAAAGGGCTCGTCCTCCACCCGGGGAAGATTGACATCATCAGCAACAGGACTCCTGCCACCTTCCACATAGGTGGCAAAATGGTCCCGACCAAAGACCGGAAGCACGTCATCACGGTTCTGGGGAGCCCTGTGGCCTTCCACACGACACCCTCCCTGATCGTCGCTGCCATGCAATCGCGGGGGAGGCGCGCCTTTTGGTCGCACAAGGGGGAGCTCATGGCAAAGGCCCCCTTAGCGAAAAAGATGATTTTGCATACGATGCTGGTCCGCCAAGCAGCTTTATGGGGCTGCGAAACTTGGCCGTATAACATGCAAATCCTTAAGCAAGCGAACTCGATGCAACTGCTCCATATACGAGATATGGCTGGATTACGAAGAGGGGGAACGGAGTCCTGGGTGTCGTGGAACCAAAGGACTCTCCGACGTACCCGCCTCTTACTCTTCAAGCACGGGGTAACGAAGCAACACCCCGCTGCAAGCCGTTGGTCCACCTTTATCCTTGAGCAGATTTGGGGACTCCTTGGACATATGTGTCGCGGCGACCCTGTGGGGGGACAAATCCTTCGCTGGCGCTCTTTGGCTTGGTGGAATGCTCACAGACCGCCGCATGGCAATGTCACCCATGCAAGCCGGTTCAATGCCTTCATGGACATCGACCGCCAAGTCACCTCCATTGCGGGGGAGAACTGGCACCTTGTCGCGATGAACAGGGAACAGTGGGCCTACCTGTCGAAGCGATGGGTAGAGAAGTATGACGTGCCATGGGCTACGGGCAAGCAGACGAGCATCGAGAACCTGACGCCGCATTCAAGAGCCGCTCCCGCACATCACGACAGTTCCGTCGACGAGATCGAACCGCCCGTGGCAGCAGAATGACGCGAGGGACCTGGACCTACCTCTCCGAGGGACCACGCGGACTTGCTGTGGCGATCCCATAGCCGGGGGAACAAGCTCTCACACTGCCCGCACAAGCTGCATGCGGGGCACTAGCTCGCACCACTCTCCAGCCTCGGGCCGGGGGGAAAAAGCTACGACAGCAGACCAGACAGGCACACAACCGGAGTCGCTCACATGTGATTTGCATGCGTATGACAGCCTTGGTCGCCGACTGCCGACATGGGAAGCTTCTTCATGCAATGCCTGTCCGTCTGCCCCCTGCCTCTGTTCATGTCAGATGTCAGATGAGAACATATGCCCCAGAAGTTCGTGACAGACGTGACCGCGCTCCGCACCCTCGGCTCGAACCCCTACATGCTCATGCCCGCCTTCATGATCCTCGCTAACACGCTGCCCTACATGATGCTTTGCCTTTTTATTTATAGTCAGAAACCTTTAAGCCGTGAACTTGAAGTTCAGTGACAGCCCTTTCAGCAGCTCCTGAAGTCGGAGCACCCTCCAGGAAAAGAAGCACGATGAAGATGCTTCAGATGTTTCAAGTACTATCAATGATGCTCTCTGCGAGTTGGGGGATGCACCCGCCCGGGGAAACCACGCCCGCAGACCCCACAGCACGTTCTGCAGCCAGGCCCACAGAGCAGCCGACACCGCCACAAGCCGCGGCAGCAAACACGGCACCCCCGGCGGTCCCCAACACTGCCTTTCAGCAGCAACCACCACCACCCCCACCACAGGGGGGACCCACGATACCACAAGCACACTGGCAACCGCCATGGATGCGTGACCCAGGAATGCCGCCTCCCACTCAGCTTACTTGGCAATCCACCCACTTCACCGCCCAGGGCACACCATACACGGCCTGGGGTGGATATGCCATGGCCCCGCAGGCCCAGCAATTCCCACACACTGGCACCCAACCTGGGGGGATCTACTTCCCGCCTCCGGCCTACCAGCTCCAGTACACCCAGCCGCAGCAGGCCCAGCCGCCACCGCAGCAAACCTCGTACGGCCCGAACCGGGCCCCGCCACAGCAGTTGACACCTTCACAGACAGCAGCACTCCACTCCACACAGCCGTTGCAGCCTACGAGACCTACAGGACAAGCGCAGCCACAGGTCCCCGTGGTCCCACAGACACAGCAAGCTTACACAGCACCTTCGGTCTGCAAACCCTGCGCCCCTTGCCTCCCTCGTGGCTACGCTCGACCGTATGACCCGGATGATGACCCATGGAATACCCCCTACAGCTCACCCCGCAATGGTGGCGCGGGGGATGCGATGCCGCCAGCTGGCTTCCACACATCGAACCTCCCGAACCAGGAGCCTCCGCCTCAGGGAAGCAGCCGACCACCACGGGAGCCGACGCCACAAGCCGCGCAGCCTTACTCAGCTTGGTACGATAATGCCACGGACGACCCGCCGCAGCCGCAGCCCCAGACACAACACCACACGGGGGTGACAGTGCCACCTCCAGCGCAGCAAGGCTCCACCGCTCCACATCCCAGACAAGAACAGCAGCCCAACCCCGACCAGAGCATGCACCACGCGGCCACAGCAGATGTCCTTGACGACCCCCCGAGCATCCCGCCGTGGGAAACAGCCCAAGCTGACCACCTGCCACAAGCCCACGCAGCCTCCGCGACCTGTCCCTCGCATACGAACCCTGGGGGAAGTGCATTTACGGCCAAGGAACTTGCGAACCAGCGAGAGTGGTACGAGGACCAGCAAGGAACCTTTGACGGCGACATCCCCCCAGAAATCCCCTGGGAAGGCAGTCAGCAACAGCAGCAGCCACAGACCGTCCTGACAGGGGAAGCAGTGCCCCCTCCTCAGGACCCCTCTGCAACAGCAAGAGACGGCGCCGATGACAAGACTGAGCAGCCGCCCGCACCACAGCAGCAGCAGCGCACGCCACCATGGGAAACTCCGGGATGGGGAGGCATCCCTTCCTCCAGGCACACACATTCTGCCACGCGACTTGGGGGACAGGCCTCTACACAACAGACAGCTACAGCGGGACACGGCTCCCAACGGGTGGCCAACAAGCGGGGCAAATACGTGTACAAGCAGCTGCGAAAAATGGGCCGCCACGTCCCCCGCCCTCGACCTCAGCCACAGCATGGGCCCGGATGGGGCTACCAGTTCCAGGCCGACCGCAATGACAGGGAACGAAAAGGGGGAGCAAACGATGCGCCCAGCACCAGCGACGATTCTAGCTACACCAGCAGCAGCAGCGATGGCGATCACGGGTGGTACAACAACCACGCTCCCCACTTCCAATCCCACACCAGTACAGACCCACATATCGGCAACACGGGGGACAAAGCCAGCAACCAAGCCAAAGACGACTGGAAGACGCTTCTCAACAAGCACCTACTCCCCCGTGACCACCCCACAACCGACACCCCGGTGCAAGCACATCAGTCGGCAGAGGAGCATACCAGCCACGCGGACCTCGCGCCAACAGACACCCCTGACTCCGTGCCTGCCATCACAGAAGCTCGGGGCCAAGACGCAGAAGCCGAGGGGGACACCCAGGCCCAGGCCGAAACACATCCGGCGGAGGAGCAGGACGACTTCACGTGGCCGCCAGATATCCCCACAACGGCCGACAGCACCTACTCGATCTACAGGCTCAACAACGACTGCTGGGAGATCGCCATTGAGTTCCGCCCGGACTTCATCCCCGACTTTGGGGGAGCACGCGCCGGTGGACCAGCCGACAATGAGCTGCACATCATCATTGCGGGGGATCGGGGACCCCTCGATAGAGCACCAAAGTTCGGGGCGGGTACACGCCTCCGACTGTGCCCCATAGGCGGTGACAGACTGTGGTACGTTTTCGTCATCGAGGCCCCGCCCATGGACATGACGGAGGAGTACAGTTTCCTCCTAGCAACGGGGGACAAGTTCGCCATCCAAGCCGGGCGAGCTGGACGTTGGGAGATCGAGATGGCGCAAGAAAGCACTAGCCCCCCACAGGAGGTCAAGCAAGCCCGACACTACATCCGCACACGGGGGACCACGCAGCGACGACTCCGGGGGATGCCGCCCACTCACTCCCCGTCCCAGGCTGCCTCCTCCTCCGACCCGCCGCCCCAGCAGTTGCAAGGCCGCTCACAGACAACAGCACTCCACCACAGCACGGCCGCCTCTTCTACAGACCCACAGCCACGTGACGAACAGGGGGACACCCAACACAAGGCCAGCCCCCAGCAGCCGCAGACCTTCTATGGGCCGCCACGCACCAAGACCCCAACTCATGTGCCGACAGCAGGGCAGCAAAGCCAGAACCCGCTCCAAGATGGCCGTACACTTCGACGAGGACAACAGGACCGCAAGCCAAACGACCCGCACGCAGCCCCACCGGCAGACCCACATTTTTACCCGCAAGCCCGAGATAGACGGAACCTCGGCGGGCGAACCAACCAGGGGCCATCGCCGCCACCAGCGCCAACACCGGACGACCCAGCAGCGGACCAAGACACAGCAGCTATGATGCAGACTGCCCCGGCCGCCCTCAAGAGACAGCACGGGGGCCAGCCCGATCCAGCACCCCAAGACACAGCTGGGGGAAACCCAACCCAACAGCCAGGCGCAACTGCGACCGACCCCGCACTCGGCCAGCACAGGCCACAAGCACAAGCCACCCCTACTACCCTTGCAGCAAGCAGTGCGACGACCATACAGGTGCCGCAACATACAGGGGGGGAATTGCCAACCACCACGGTTGCGAACCAAACTTCTGACCCCGGGGCCCCTCTCCGAGAGCGCATCCCTTCCTGGCAAAAAGTTGAGAGACACCTCCTCGCAATGAGAAGGCTAGCCGAACACCTCCCGAATGGGGGAACAATCGTGGCCGTTGTCGACTGCGCCCTCGCAGACGTTCTCATGGACAGCGATGCAGAGCAGCATGTTGACATGTGTATAGAGCAGTTGCTAGGTTTGAGCCATGGCACGGGGGAACAAAGGCCACCCAAGCGCCGTCGACAGGTGATGACAGCCCGACAAGCCATTCGGCAGCTCTCGGATCTGGCCCGCGTGCAGCTCACGGAGCGGGGGAGGCCAGTCACTGTGGCCGACCTAACGCCATGCCTGGACGCAGTGGTTCGCTGGTTGCAACGCATCACGGGGGAAACCCTGAGCGACACCAACATGCCCGACCTGATGGCGACTCTGCGACAAGTTCTCCAAGCAATTGGGGAAGGGACGTCGACTCTGGACCACTGGCGACAACTGATGACCGTGGGGGAAAGCCTTCGATCTCTGTTTGAGATAACAGAAGGGGAACGAGCGGAAGAGAACGTGCAACCGCAGCTCGAGGGCAACCAACCCGGGGAATACGCCCTCATCTTCGAGCAGATTGCAGCCTCCTTCGCGCAGTGGAGCCACGACGAGCAAGCCATGCTGCAGGCCGACCTCCTCAACCTGTTGCACACCACGTCAGCCATCTTGCACAGCCAAGCAGCAGAGATCGCTGCCACTGCTGCGGATTCCCAACCGCCGACCCGCCGGGGGGACCCACGACAAGCTGCAAGACAAGCCGACTGGTGGCTGCACGACAGGCATCATGGGCTGGGGGACAGTGCAAGAATGAGTGTTGATGAGGACAGCCAGCGCCACAACAGCGGGGGAGGATCCTCAAGTGAACCAGCTTCTGATGCCTCCCACCGACGCCGTCGAGAACTCGCTGCTCATGCCCAGGACTACTTCTGATCCCGGGGGAGCCGTGAAAGGAGAGCGACCAAAGTCATGCCGCGGGGGAGTGCATTTCATGTTTTTTTAGTTCCTTTTGGTTTGCTAGGCTAGGTCACTTGTTTTCCTGAATCACCCCAGCGACATGTTCACGTGGTCAACCGAACAGGGGGAAACATCCCTGCAATCTCAGTTTCGGACTTCAGGTTGCTTGCGGGGGACTTGCTTGTCTGTCCTTTTGGTTTGAGGTCCTTTGAGACCTTCTGGGATTAGGGGGATTTGCAGGTGCGCCTCTGCCTCGATAATACCGAGGGGGGAATGCCGCACAAGAAAGGAGCTGTAGCGCGCCCTTAGGGCTCCTGCCGAGAAGGGGAACGTTTGCCGTCTTTTCAGGTTGACTTCTGGGGGACTTGCTTGTGTGCCTTGCTTCTACATTCGGTTCTGGGTTCCCAAATAC